AACTAATGCTACTAAAAATCCGTCTACCACCAGTTGCATTACCTAATGGGACTCAAGTCCCTATCAATTCTGTTGGGACTTTCAATTTTGGCTCCAAATTGTCTCTATACAATGTTCTTGGGATAACATTCTTTTTTATCAATTTAATTTCTGTCAGTCGAATTTCTCGATCATTGGGATGTTCGGTAACATTTTATCCTGATTTTTGTTTTTTACGGGACCTGGAGATGAGGACGATAATTGGTTGGGGGCGAAAATGTAATGGACTTTATTATTTGGTGGACTCGAAGTGATAGGTGCCACATACAACTACTTCATCTCCGAAGGCCTTATCCATCACATGGCACTGCCAACTTGACCATCCTTCACCTTTGCGCTTGCAATTGTTAACTAAGAATTTTCCTAAATATTCTTTTTCTTCAAATAAATTTGCCCTTGGACAAAACAAACTCGATTGTCTTTTGGATTGAGTCGTATTAGTACTAAGCATGCTTTTGAACTTATACCTTGTGATATTTGGGGACCCCATAAAATACCATCCCGTTCTGGTGCTCGCTACTTCCTTACTATTGTTGATGATTTTACAAGCTACACTTGGGTTCTATCTCATGCACTATAAATCTAACACACAAACATTGCTCAAATCCTTTATTGCCTATGCTGAAACACAATTCTACCAGAAAGTAGAAATAATTAGAACCGATAATGGGAGCAAATTTGTTTCTATGCATACTTTCTTTAGTGATCATGGAATAATTTTTCAACGTTCTTGCGTCTCTACCCCTCAACAAAATGAGGTAGTAAAACATAAACATGGACACATCCTTCAAACTACACGAGTTTTGCATTTTCAATCTCATACGCCATTGAATTTTTGGGACGAATGTGTACTCACATATGACTATATCATTAACTGCATTCCCACTCCACTCTTAACGGGCCTCACGCCTTATGAGAAATTATGTGGTCATACTCCCTCATATACACATCTACGGACTTTTGGTTGCTTGGCTTATGCTACTAATCTTCACCTACGATACAAATTTGATGTTCGAACAAAAAAATGGGTTTTTATTTGGTACCCTTTTGGGCAAAAAAACATATAAGTTATATGACCTTTATTCAAAGAACATTTTTACAAATCTAGATGTCACATTTCATGAAAACATTTTTCCTTTCCAAAAGGAACAGCCTAGTCCTAATGATACAAACAACACCAATATTAACCTGACACCCGTCACTCAAACAGATATTGAGCCAATGCCCATACAAAGACAAACCCAACCCTCACATACAGACAAATGAACCTGAGCCATCCATTCTTGATAGCACTGAATCAGAATTAACTATTCCAGATAGTGCTGTCAATCTAGAACAACACAATGAACCTTGTGCCCGATGAACCTGTTGCTTCTCCAGCACCTTTACGACATTCTGATCGCATTCGAATACCACCAACTAAGCTTCATCATTATGTTTGTCTGACCATTTGGTTGTCCCCCATCGGTTCTTCGATCTCTGGTCCTAATACAATGTATCCTCTTTCCAATTACTTGTCATATCAAGGACTCTTTCAACCATATCAATCATTTATTGCACAATTGTCTTTTACTTTGGAACCTAACAGTTATGCAGAGGCCTCAAAATCTCTTGAATGGCGTCAGGCCATGGATAAGGAACTTCAGGCTCTTAAGACTAATGACACATGAGCACTCTCTCCTTTGCCAATTGGGAAGGCACCAATTGGATGTAGGTGGGTCTACAAAATTAAATTAAAATCCGATGGGAGAATCGAGCGTTACAAAGCTCGTTTGGTTGCTAAAGGCTATACTCAACTGGAAGGTATTAACTATCATGACACTTTTTCTCCAACCGCTAAACTTGTCATTTTCCGTTGTTTACTTACTCTCGCTGCCTCTCACTCATGGTCCCTTCATCAACTTGATGTTCATAATGCTTTCCTTCATGGCGATCTCATGGAAGAAATCTATATGCTCCCACCACTTGGTCTTTGGCAATAGCGGGAGAATTTAGTGTGTCGCCTCAACAAATCACTTTATGGGTTGAAACAAGCTTCTTGTCAACGGTTCTTCAAATTCTCACAAGCCATCCAATCTCTTGGTTATGTTCAATCTAAAGCAGACTACTCTACTTTTACTAAGAAAAAGGGAAAATCGTTAACTGTGCTGCTCATTTATGTTAACGACATACTAATAACAGGGAACGATTTGACAGCAATCAATGAACTCAAAAATTATTTAAATACCAAGTTTCGTATCAAAGACCTTGGTGATTTAAAATATTTTTTGGGAATCGAGGTGGCACGCTCAAAACAAGGTATTTTCATTTCACAAAGAAAATATTTGTTGGATATTCTGAATGATGTTGGTTTTTGGGGATCGCAACCTACAAACTTTCCTATGGAACAAAATCTTAAATTGCATCCTGGTGATGGTGATCCATTAGATAAGCCGGCCAAGTATAGAAGATTGATTGGTCTATTGATATATCTCACTATTACACAGCCAGTCATTACATATTTTATCCATTTATTGAGCAGATTCATGCAGTCACCTCGAAAGCCCTACCTTAAAGGCATACCGGGACACGACATGATGTTCTCTTCCCAAAATACATTGAAATTGAAAGCATATTGTGACTCTGATTGGGTAGGATGTCCAACTTCTCGACGTTCAACAACTGGTTATTGTGTTTTCCTTGGAAATTGTCTTATTTTATGGAAAAGCAAACTCCAGAAAACTGTATCCTTATCTTCTGCCGAAGCTGAGTATATATCCATGGCATCAACATGTTGTGAACTTACATGGCTACAAAACCTTGTTCGAGACTTGTAAATTCGAATTCAAGGGCCATCTACTTTGTTCTGTGACAATCAAGCTACTCTTCATATTGCAGCAAATCCGGTATTTCATGAATGCACAAGACACATTGAGATTGATTGTCATTTTGTTCGAGATAAAATTATGAAGGAAAAGTTGTGACAAAGTTTGTTCCATCCATATCACAACTTGCTGATATATACACTAAAGCTCTCGAGAAGGAAATATTTCATTCTTTGTTGGTCAAGTTAAGAGTTCACAATATTTACTTGCCTACTTGAGGGGGAGTGTTAAGAAAGTCAAAGATCCTCACCATGATTCATGTCAATATTATAAATTAAGGAACAAATATATTGTAATATATTACTTTCCGTCTTTGCAATATATCATCAATTAGTAGCAGATTTACAGGAGTTAATTAAAAGGCTAAAGAGCTATATATACATGAGATTATGTAAATATTATTTTTGAATAAAAAAATTATTCATTCTTCCAAATTTTACACTTATTAAATGAGAAATTACTTGGATTTAGATACACATTTCTTCATATCTTGCTATGTTTATATGTATTTCCTCTAATGGTTATCTGTCCATTATTGTTTTGATTTTAGTCGAATATGTTATTTTATGATTATTAGCATTTTAGAATTTTAGTTGAAGATAATATTTTATGATTACTAGTGAGACGCACGTGCAATGCACGTGTCATAGTATAGTTAGCTATATAATAGCGTAAATATGAAAAAAAATTATTTATCTTAAGCATTAGTTATATTAAACTTAACTTGAAATGATGATATGTGCAAAAATAATATTAAAATATTTGATTCAAAACTTATTTTCTAGACTTTGCGTTTGAATGTCTTTCTATTCTTTTTAAAAAAAAGGCAGGGTATAGATGATTAGGTGTTGATGCTATGCTAAAGAGATAATGAAGTTCAATCTAGCCCTCATTTTTCTACTTATTGGGATACGACATTATGTCTCCTTCACCTCGTGCTCATAAAATCTCCAATTATATGTATCAATTGTATCAGTATTTAATTTCTTTACTAAGATCATATGCAAGACGCATGTAGTCAAAAACTAATTAATTAATGATAATACAGTACAGATTTAGGACAAATCAAGGGTCTTTATCAGTATTAAAATCATAACACAACGAA